ACACTGCAATCTTTTTATAAAAACAAAACTGAATTGTTTCTCAATTTCTATTCTAATTACATGAATGAAATATCACTAAGATACATCAAACATGAAATTATTGTTGTAAAGGATATGTTCTTATGACCAAGATTGCAATAAAAATGAAAGTTCTTGAAATTTTCTTTAAAAAACAGTGAAGTTTTATTTCAAGTAGATATTTATCATGTCTTCTGTCCTATTCAAAGAACTCAGTCACAAAAAAATTAATCTATTTTATTTAAACAAGAGTTGTGCAATCATGCCATCTGCTACAAAATCACGTAGTAAACAGCAAAGTATATTTTTCACAAAAGCAGAAAAAAATCTGACACACTACCAGCTTTTCTTGGTGAAATTACTTCAAATCAATTGTACAGTACTGATGTAAATAAAAGCACAATTGTGCACAGTTAAAAAAGGTTCAAAATAAATATTTCAGACTTTGTGCGAGCATGGCATTTCTGCTAATCATTAAAAAAGCTTTTTTTAAAGTCCCAAATCAGTCCAAAAACAATACCTCTGCTTTAAAGATCCAACTCTTAAAGCAGCTACAACTTTTTAGAGATTTATGCAGAGGCCTGAATAAAATCTAACTGCTTTAAAAAACAGAAAAGACTTGCCATGTTAATGAGAAGTCATTCAAAGCTACAATTTTTATTACAGAAGAACTGAAAAGAAACATATCAGAATAAAGTATTTGTCTGGTTTTTTTGTTATCTACTGTATTTATTCTCGATACTCTTTCCTTAAAAAGCTAAAATGTAATGGTGCTGGTAACAGGGATATTTTCTTCTGGATACAAGCACTGAAATGTTTTGAAATATTTCTAACAATTATCCCTAGCAAAATTCTCCAATCTCATGTCTTCTAGGACTACCTAATTAGTTTTCCCAATCAAGATGATAACTTGGCTATAATGTAAGAAATGGTAAACCAAATCTAGGAAGAAGACAACACGGTTGTCTTGCACTGTTTGGGAAATTGTGTAATTCAAGATGAGTCCTCCAAAGCCAATCCTAATAAAGAAAAAAAGAGGTCAAATTCTTGGGGGAAAAAGCATGATAATAAGGGAAGAGGAGCATCAATATTACTATTAGAGGAGGGTTATATCTCCAAAACAGATTAAAGAAAAATGATAAAATCCTAAATTGAAACAGAATTGGATAGTTAAATATCAACAGATAGAAACAATGCTCAAGGATATGAAAATAACAAAAAACTGGATGAATTCTTTGTCTCTATTCTATAATAGAAAGATACCCCGGTCAGTTTGTATTAACATTCTCAGAGAAAAATTTGTACCGAGAAAATTGAGTAACAGTCAACAGTATCTTGAGAGATGACACAATAATAAATCACCAGGTCATGATCACATCCATCTGGGAGTTTTTAAAAACTCAAAGGTGAAATTGCTGACAGACAAAATATGCAACTTGTCTCTCAATCACTTAGTGCAAAATTGTATCCAATATGACATACAACTTTTAAAAAGATGATCCAAGGGAGATTTAGGAAATTATAGACCAGTCCACTTAAGATCCGTTTCATTCAAATAGACAGAAATGATAAACAAAATATAAAATGGAAGAATATGCTGTGTGCAGATATAATTGCTAATATATTCTGTAAGTAAATATATAAAATAATTAATTAAAAAAATAGAAATTAAGAGTAAAAATGCATAATTTTTTCAATGAAGCAAAATAAGGAGTCATTTAAGTACCTTGTCTGTAATAATGCTTTATAACGTCATATTATTCACAAGTAATCTTGACATAAAAGTATATTAGCTGTCAAATTTCCAGGCAGGTGGTAAAATCCAAAAGTGACTGTTCCAGAAAGAGCTCTTTCAACTGGCAGAATGGTGAGCCTAACAGTAAACGCAGTTCAATTAAATTAAGTTGAACTAATGTGATGCATTCTAGTGCCCAAAACTCTTAACTCCATATATTCACTTATGTGGTTTGAACTGTCTGTAACTATCCAGGAAAAGGATGCTAAGGTCACAGACAATAATTCAATGAAGTGTTGACTCATTTCATGGTAGGGATCATGCTAGGGATCATTAGCAAAGCAACTGAAAATAAAATTGCCAACGCTGCAATGTCTTTATACAAATGTATGTTATACCCACATCTAGAATATTGTATGTGGTTCTGCTTGCTGACTTTGAAAAAAATAAGTAACCGAGTTTTAAAAAACGCAAATAGAGGGTTTTATAACAGCTTCCTTTTGAAATAAACACATAGTATCTAGAGGTGTTTAGCTTGGAAAAAGAGTGACTGAGCAGGGCTAGTAATCAAAGCATGTAAAGTGATATTTGACATGCATAAAGTGGAAGATTTTTTTCCTCTCTTAAAATTCTAGGGCCAGGTATTATCCAGTAAAGCTGAATAAAAGGATATTAAAACAGGCAAGAAAATGTTTTTTTATACAGCACATAATTAAGCTGTGTAAATCAGTACCACAAGACGTGGTGAGGGCTATAAGTTTAGATGATTTTAAGGGGGGGTTGGATAAATTCATACAGGACAAATCGATCAAGCCTTAGATCTTAAAGAGCCAATTTCAACTCTACATTGGGAAAATATGCCTCTAAATGCCAAATGCAAGAAAACAAGGGGTGGGAGACTCAATTCTTCTGCTTCTAAGCACCCCAAAGGCATTTGAGTGGCCACTGTAGAATAGAATAGAAAAGAAAATACTGGACTATCCAGGTTTTACCCTGGCCCACAATCATAGTATACTCTATTGCTGAATACTGCACACCTGTATGGGGAAGTTGTCATACTAACAAGATTGATGTTTACTTTAATGACACCATGAGAACGATATCTGGAATCTTTACATCCACACTCCTCTCATGGCTAAATGTTCTTTCTAATATTGCCCCTCCTGATCTCAGGTAACAACATAAAGTCCAAGAATGGAATAAGATAAATACGTCATTGACTCCTAGAGATCTTCCAATACATAAAATATTAAGACTATCTCTCACCAGGCTTAAGTCTAGAAAACCAATTTGGGATAACATACCGGTCTTAGATCTAGATGAGGAATGGCGATTAAGATGGGCAACTTTTAATAACCATAACCAAACAAACCATGCAGATCCAATAGACTAATTCCAGGAATACAGCTGCCCTGAAAAATATGGAGCCCACTGAAGAGAATCAGGACAGGCCATGGCATAACTAAGGCAAAACTCTTTAAGCGGGGAATGGCCGAGAGCCCACAGTGTGACTGTGATGCTCTGGAACCAACTATAACATATGTAGTTCAAGAATGTCTCCTCAGGAGATTTCAAAGCACCTGTGATGATCTCATCACAGCCACACCAGAAACAGTTAAAACCTTAGATACTGAATTATAACATCTATCCCAGTTCAATTCTATAGCCCCATATTATGTTTATTTTATTATGGTTTTATCACAATTTTTATTCCTCTATTATATTATCCACATATCAGTGGATATGTCAGTGATTGCATGGCCTCTGTAGATGTAATATGATAAATAAATAAACCCTAATCCAGCATGGCTCTTCTTAAAATGAGGCAGACACTAGAGAAAAGAACCAGATTGAAGAGTCTGTAGTAAGCATGTATTGCTGTAGCACAGAGATGCCCATATTGTTTAGTCAGTTCCTGTATTTTGGCCAAATAGAACTGAGTCATTCTTACAGATGGCTCCAGCTGCTTCCCCCCCCCCAAAAAAATGCCTGCAGGATAAAACTGGGGGGGGGGGACAATTCTTTTTCTGCAACCTTGGTGTGAGGTCACTGCTATCTCAAAATATAGACAGCATACTGACTCTACAGCTATTTCATATTCAGTACTGGAAGAATTTCAAATGGTATTCCTTAATAAGCTTTATAGCCGAAATGAAGTGTTCTTTTAAACAAACGTTTGTCATAAGTTTCTGTCTTTTTCTTTTTTTTTTTGCAGCTAATAAAGTTAATCATTCATTCCTCCTGAATCTACCTTCCCAAGATACACAGTTTCATTAAGTATTACCATAATTTCTAAAGTGCCTTCACAGAGCATGCAACAAGTCAATATTAGTTCCCCATTAACAGAAATCAAATTCACTACAGCATCACTGAAAAACAAGAATCTGAACTGATAAGTTAGTGGTAAAGACTGGACCTCTCAATACAAGCAGCTTAAACATGGACAATGTCTAAATAATTGAACAAAAACATCAACGATCGAAAGTAAACTTTAAGACTCTTAAAAAGACTGCTGGGTTTTTGACTCCCAAATCGCAAAATTCTGGGAAGAGGCAAGGGACACCCCTCCACAACCCTGCACCATGCAAATCATTATTTTTCACCACACACGTCGTTTTTGTTCCAGAAATCTTATTTATCCTCTCACTGGGACTTTATTTCAGGGATGGGGAGGGAAGGGGCAGAATCCTTCAATAGGACCACCCCTTCCCCTTTTCATCATGTCAACACACTTCCGTGAGAAAAAAAAAAGAGTGTTCTTCATCGTTGCCTCGTCCACTCAATCCAGACTCTCAAATAAAAATTCCTTCAGTGTTGAGCGTTTCCGAGCGCAGGGAGGGGGCAGAGCACAGGACGGGCATTGTATTTTAGACACAAACGTCCACTAAACAGTTAAGTCTCTCCGGCCCTCCAGTCAGAAGTATTCAAAACTCTCCATATTGAGAAACTGTACTGGTGTACAGTACATCTTCCTCTCCCCGCCCAGCGCTTCCAAAGCAAAAAGTGGGAGCAGGCTCCGGTCTTCCCATCCAAGTCCTGAGCTATTCTCGCCTCTTTTCCCCAATCACGGAAAACGCGGGAGGTGTGGATTCTTCCAAGCATAACGTTGCTTTAAAGCACCCCAAAGGAGATACAGCTCTGCCTGCATCCTTGCTTGCCCTCAATCTCAGATCTTTTTTTTTTTTGCACCTTTCTCTAATCATATACACAGACACAGACACAGACCGCCGCCATCAACTGAACTCACCAACAAACTTTCCACATTGACCGGAGATCTGGGGTCCCGGATCATGGACTCCAACTTCCTTTGCCGGCTCGCCAAATGCCCTTCCCCGGATACCGGCGGCGGGGAGGCAGACATTTTCGTTACCTGTCTCGGCTGCTGGTGGTTCATTTTCACGTTCGCGGCGGATCTCTCACCGCTTTTTTGTCCCTCTGGGTTCTCGGGCGCCAAAGCAGACCCGGAGACCGTCGCTTGATTGGAAACGGAGGAGGCGGCAGCGGCAGCAGCGGGCGGAGACTCTCTGCCGTCTCCAGCCCCGCCGATTGCTCTCCACTTCGGGGCCTGCCGAGTTTGGGGTGAAGGAAGCAAACAATCCGCCGGGCGGAGAAAAACGGGGCTCAGTCCCAGCCTCACCCGGCCAGGCCTCTCTCCGGAGGAGCAGCCAAAGAGGTGCAAGCGGACGACCTCCTCCTCCTCGCCTCCCGATTGGGGCGGGCACTGCTGCCGCTGCTCCACCCGCCCGCTTCCCAGGCATGAACAACCCAGAAAGGGGGAAGGTGGGCGCCTGGAAGGAGAAGGGAAAGGGAAGCCGCCTCGGGAAGCCCCGCCGCGGCCTTCCTGTTTCTCTCCTTGGTCTCTTCTTCTGCAGCGACGAGGCGGGAAAGGAAGGCAAGTTATGACCGAGCCCCCCACGCTGCCTCGGCCATTTTGCACCAGGTCACTCACTACCCGTCGGGGAGAAGACAAGGGAGGGAGGGAGGGAAAGCGGCGGCGGCGGCGCCCGACTTCCTCCCTCCTCCTCTTCCTCTGTGGCTAGAAGGATGGGAGGGAGGCGGCTGGGCCCGCCTCGCTGGGTCTTTCTCTCTCTGGAGGCGTTTCTCTCAAGGGAGTGGGCTGCCCCGCGCTGACCTCTGCTAGTTGCCGCTTCGTCGGCCGAACGAGTGATTGAAGCTTCTGCCTCCTTCTCCTCCCGCCCCCCCTCCTTTAATTGCAATTACAAGCTTAATTATTTTAGCGGCGGCGGCGGCATGATTACTACTACAGCGATGGCTTCCTCCTCGTTACCCACAAGCCTTCGCTGGTAGAAGGATCCCCACCAAGAGGCAGGCAGGCGAGGAGCAGCAGCGGGAAAGAGAGACCAGTACGGGGGAAGCTCTCTCTCCTCGGGGCTCGCTAATATAAGTCCCTGAGCTCAGGCGTGAAAGGTTGTGCAATTGGTGCGGCAGGGCTGGTGCTTATTCGCCTTAGTTTCCCAACCACCCCGCCACCCACCCTTCAAGGGACTTGTTGACTGAGCTCCAGGAATGGCACGCGCGACGATAGGCACAGACGTATATAGGTGCGTGCCTTCCTCGAGATATAAGCTGCCCTCAGGCCATCCAAAATAAGCGGGTGACTCCCTGCATGCCGCTCTTCTCTCGCCCAGCCACCTTCCGCCTCCAATCGGCTGATAGCAAAGGCGGGGAGGGAAAACAACGCGATAGCAACCGAAGTGGAGCGATTAGCCTCAAGAGGCGGACCGGCCGGTGATGCTTGCGGGATGGCACGCAGACCATATAAAGCTCTGAGGGCGACTGAAAGGGAGGGGGGGATGGGCTTAAAACTCCCGGCAGCATCCCTTGAATCAGCTCGCCGGTTGTTTTGGGGGAGAGGGGGATTTGGCCATGGAAGGGGGGGGGAAAGCCGGCTTGGGTTTGTCACGACAACAGCTGAGGTGCATGTGCGGCATCCCCATGAAGCGAAGCGCTAAGCCAGGGAAAGCTATCTTTAGCTGAAGTGACGCCATCAAGTTCTATCCTGATGGGGAAAGCCAATATTTATGACCTTTGTTATGGTAGACAAACGCTTTATGAAGAAGCAGGGGAAACCTGCCTTGAATATCCAAACCAATAGGACCGCAGTACCTCTAGACAAAAATATTCATTCCCGTTATGTCTTCTGGCTTGGGTGGAGTTTGATTTGGTGGTGGTTGTTTTTTCTAATCGTTTTTGCAGAACTGTGGCATACCATTCACAGTTCATGCCTGTTACTTTGATAGCAAACTGGCCTCTGTCCATCACCCCCACCAACATAATATACCGTGTTTGGATTTCAAAACGTCTTCCTTTCTGCGCATAGCAAAGGGTGGTTGTGAGCATGCATAGAATGTTTTATTCACCTACAGAAGGGCCCCCTCCTAAAAAACCTACCCCCTAATTAGAATTAATGGCATTCTGAAATTAAAAAGGACACACACGGTGTTTTGGATAAGGAAAAATTACCTGTTAGCTCCACAGCAGGAAGCTGGTTCTGATCCAGTGGGTGTACTTTCTGCCCCAAAGCCTTTTTCAAGCCAGATGATACTAAAAGGAGAGATTTGGAGAAAGGAAGTCTCACCTTACCTTCTCAGACATGACATTTCTTTCTTCAGCTATGTAGACCTGTATTTTTCAAACGTGGCATGTTCAGGTTGTGTGAAGTTCAACTCCAGAATTCCCCAGGTAGCATGTTGGCTGGGAAATTTTGATATTTGAAGTCCATGCATCTTAAAATAATTGCTAAATGTGAAAAATACTGATATAGACTCAAGAGCTCTCCAGAATAAAAGCTGTAAATGTCCAGCACAAACGGATTTCCTGCCTTTCCTGACAGTTTATGAAGAAACTACAGCATGGCAGCAGCTAGAAGCTAGTTTTGGTTTGAAGTGATTCCAGAAGATTTGTTTTAAAAATCAGAGCCTGGATACCAAAAGAATGGAAGATGCTCTGGAGCTACAGCGTGATGCTTTAGATAACACCTTTTGGGAATTTTGCAGCAAACTAACTAATGCAATAATCTGTAACACTGTTTTCCATACATGTAAGCAGATGTTATATTGAAATATTGCAATGCAATGCATTTAATACTAGATAAGGTCTAGTTAAATTTTCAAGGATAACATATGCAGATACGGCCTAAAAGAGCTCACATGGAAATGGTGCATTGAAATTGTTATCATCCTATCTTTTTCATCTGCTTTCAAGTCTTGCCTATTTAATATCATGTAAGAACATGCTTTCTCATTAAAAGTTCCTGAAAACTAAAACAGCACTGTAGTAAAGATTTCTCATCAAGTATTAATAGCATTGCCCCTCAAGTACCAGCTATGCCATCTTTCCTTTTATATGAAAAAAAAGAAAAATATTAATATCAGAAGCCAAGAGAAATCTAAATTAAGTTTTAAATCTTCAGAAACCTGTATTTATTGAAATCAATGTGATAGAAAACATGAAGGCATTGAATGTGGAACAATCAAATGAGAGATATGATCTCATTGCTAGTTTTATTGTGCAAAATTTTTGGAGGGGAAAAAAATCCTGATTTCAAATTACCACTAAATGAGGCCAGCATTTAGCAATAACTACATGTACTAATTTCCCAGACAGCCTTTTAAAATAGTGGTTTTAAATGGATAAGCGGGCCTAAATATTAAAATTAAATATTGTCTGAAGAATAGTGTTTATTTCATTATAAACTATCAAGCTGATAAAAGAAAGTATAGTAGGAAACAGTTTCACTCTTATATTTACTTAGGCCAATTAATCTCATACTTTTCTATTAATAAAGTATAGACTGGAGCCAACTTGAATGAGGACCTCCCAGTTCTTGCTTTAGTCAGGAAAGAAATTGCATGGAAAGCATCCAAACAATAGGTCAAACCAAGCAAATCTAATGACATCTACTGGCACATCAGTCAAAACAATCAGCATAATAAATAAACAGCAGGCTTTATATCATGTTTAGCAATCTTCTAAGGGGATGTTTCCAGTTTTGGAGATGTAAGAGTCTCTTATTTAATGGTGCCATTCTATCAAGCTACCAGCTTTCCTTCTCAAACCTTCAGTTTTATATCATCCCTGCTGCCCTTCATTCTCCTATTGAGCTGGCCAGCACTTCCAAGTACATACCACTCCAAAAGCACCCCAAATGACAGCCACATATCACTCCACCGCTGCCCTCATTTTTCCTTTATCAGCTTGATTTCTTCAGGGAGCAAGAGCTGGGCTGGGGAAATAACCAAAAGGAAAGATAGTAGCAAGATGCCACCGCATGTTGACCACAGGAGGGGAGAAATGCCAAAAGTTAGGAGGCAGAACAAGACAGGAGTTTCCATCAATAGGTTTTGCAGTTCCAAAGCTGTCACCACTGCATTTCTTCTGGAGGAGGAGATGAGCCGATGGTTAATCAAATTAACTTCCAAGCCTTGTGGTGCTGCATCCATCACAGCGCTGCATTAGTTGCATGTGAAAAGATGCCAAATAGCATGTTAGAGGACTGATGTATTTTTGAGGCAATCCATTATTGAATTCTGACTGTAAACTCAACTGTGGTTGTAAGGTAACATGAATCGCTTTACCCAAAGTTATTGTGTCTCAGAGGAGATATCTCCTTGCCATGGATATGTATGCTTTATGGTGGCTTACAGCAATATTACCTCATCTTGGTGAGAAGAAAGTTCATTCTATTAGGTCCTGCTTATGCCTGGACATGCCTGGAGATGAAAAAAAATGGCTGATTCCTTAATCTACATGCCACTGCAATTAAATTTCTCATAACAATAAAAAAAACCTTACATGGCACTGCATTTTAGGCAGTGCAGGGAAGAGATGGTAAGCCTAGAAAATGTTCTCCAAACTCCACACTGTATCTCCATGCTAATGTTGGCCGGATCTAAAATCTCATATATTTATAGCTTGTTATCACTGTGCATATTTTCCCCATCTTAAAGGGAGTTCAGAACCTTTATAACTCCCAAAGACTGCAATTCTTAAACAGCCTGGGGTTTTCTTAAGAGGCAAATCTTGCAGTGTTCTCTGCTCCATTTCCTTTCCTCCAAAATTTCAAGGCTTTTTAAACAGGAAGGTCAAGTGTGGTGCAGAGGAAGGATTGCTCTTCTATACCTACTCTTGCCCCAGATTTTCACACAAAGAAGGTGGTTACTCACTGTTCTCTTTTCTTGTTAATTTCTGGAGATAGATCTGCCAAAAGAAGACATTTTGAACACCTGAGGGAAACCAATTAGATGAGGAGAGTACACTAACTATTACAAATGGCAGTATAAGTACAAGCTGTACTGTCTCAAGACTCATTTAGGATTTCAAAATAATATCTGAAGAACATTTACTTTTCAGATTCATGGGCATAATTTGAAATACCAAACTGCCTTTGTCTCTTCTTGACATTTCCTAGTGTTGAATTGCTCTTTATAAAGCTTTCTAACAACTCTAAAATTTATTCCCCAAAAGAGCAATTAGATATAATTTATAGTGTAAAACAGAGTTGTATGTATTACCTCATAGGTGAATTTTCTAACAAAATAGAAAATTCAGACAATCATCACAATAATATAGCAATCACTTTTATCAAAACTGAAAAAAAAATAATTTAAAACTCCTGATTTGGAAAAGAAAAATTACCAGAGACAAACATTTACCAAGTTCTTAGTTGTCAATTCCAATAACAGAAAGATAAAAGTAAGTTCATCTACCTTCCAAAACTATTGAGCAAGCATGATGTCACACAATATTTACAAAGAGAAAGTCCATTTGTGATGGAGTGCTTGAAGTCTCGGGGCACTATAAACTTTGTAATCAAAATAAATGCTTTGTAAGAACAGCAGACATGGGAGTGTGGAACAGTGTAACCAAGTGACCAGATAAACAACATGGCAAGTTTTTGTTCCTTTAAAAGAAAACTGATCTGCAGAAATCTACCCATTTGTTCTTGGTATGAATTAAACTCATTCTTGAACTTTATATCAAATTTATTAAACACAAAAGCTACAAGACCGTTCCCCCCCTCCCAAAAAAAGACAACAGATCCCTGTAAAACATTTGTCTGCATGAGCATAATGTGAAAGCATGAACACAGGTCAAACTTATTGTCTAGTGCCCTTCATGAGCCAAAATCATCAGGTTATGATGTGCCATCCTGCCTGCCTGCCTACTGTATCTACCAAAAAGATTTTATATTCATCTAATTAACATTCTCTCGATACAAGTTCCTCAATGAAAGATACAAGCCTACTTCAAGAATTCCACCAAAGGAAAACTCACCACCTTCTCTGGGATTCCACTCTTATGCTATTTTTATCATTAGAAAGTTTCTCCTAAATTTGCCAAAACCAGCAGCTTTGCAGTCTCAGCTCATTTACTATAATCCAGCCCTTTGGAAATCTTCTCCTTTTTCTGCTACTATCCTTCTGCATATTTGAAAGCAACTGTCAAGTCTTTTCTTAATCTTCTCCAAGCTACATATATGCAACTTAACATTTTTCCATAGAAGTTTGAAAGAGACAGATAATGATGGAGACAACATTATTCTTGGCTGGTGTCAAACCCATTGCAATATGTTTGGGCTGCATTCTGCCCATTTGCTGTAAAGTACTTCACAGTACAAGTAGTCCTTGACAACTC